TCACCACAAAAAAAATATTTTTTTATTTCAATTGATGTTTCCATCTTAGCTGATCCAAGTGGCTGAAAATGACCAGCTGTACTCACTGACCCTGTCACTCACGGATGCCTAGACTAGGGCAGCCATATCTTCCAGCCCTATCACATGATCTCTGGCATGTATACGTGACACAGAAGGGCAGACCTAAGTTAATGAGAAAAGGGAGGGCAAGGCTTGCTAATGAGGAAATACAATTATATGCTTTAGAATTTCAACAAAGAAGTCCAGGAAGGGGTCAGAATACACACTGTGTTATGAAGGTCATATTCCTGCCAAATTAGACAGTTGATAATACTGATTTAACTTAATTCATCTCAAATCTTGGGAGGCTGGAACAGGAGGATTGCTAGTTCTAGACCAGGGCTACATAGTGAATTCTAGGCTGAGCTGTATACCAAGACCCTGACCCAAACACAAAATATGTTAATTTATTTTAATGAACTCGTGTTCTTACAGATCTGAGTGAAAAGAGCACCCAAGACATGTGTCATTCACTTTCCATTAATGGAGCTTTATGTGAACTCAGTAGTGAAAACTGCGCCTGCAAGCAACCCTTCGAGTCTTAGGAAAGTTGAGCAGAAATGTCCGGAGGTGGTAAATCACTGCAGCAATTACACCTAAAAGTATCTTTTGTTCAGCAACAATTACACCTAGAAGTATCTTTGCTCACCAAAAGGCACTTGACTGCATTTACTTGCTTTGAGTGATAGCTTGTTAATCTGAAAGTTCCTATCAAGCCAAGTGGCGGTGGCACATGCCTTTAGTCCCAATACTCGGGAGGTAGAGGCAGGTGGATCTCTGTGAGTTTGAGGCCAGCCTGGTCTACAGAGTGGGTTCCAGGACAGACTCCAAAGCTAGGAGAAACCCTGTCTTGAAAAACCAACCAACCTACCTACCTACCTACCTACCTACCTACCTACCTACCTAACAAAAAATACTGTTCTAAAAGCTTGGAGTAGTCCTTAGCATGCCAATAGAAAGTACTGCAGTGTCCACCCAGAAAACCATGTTAACTTATCTGGAGTCAGAGAGAGATTTGGGCTCTGCCTGAGAAGTTTCAGGTTTTCCTTTTTGCATTATCTAAAGTCAAGCAATGCACCTTGGAGTCTCACTGACCCATGATGACAGTAACACCTCTGCTTATGTCTCTTTTTTCCAAGACAGGGTTTCTCTGCATAGCCCTGGCTGTCCTAGAACTCTCTCTGGAGACCAGAATGACTTCAAACTGGGACTTCTGAGTGCTGGGATTAAAGGCATGAGTCACGCCACCTGGTTTCTGGTTATGTCTTTGTTGTTGTTGTTTGTTTGTTATTTGTTTTTTGAGATAGGATTTCTCTGTTTGTCCCTGGATATTCTGGAACTTCTTGAACTCAGAGATCTGTCTACCTCCGCCTCCCGAGGGATTAAAGGCATATATCATCACCACCTGGCCAGGTGTGATGTCTTAATGATAAAATCAACAGAACTCGAGCTTGCAATAGATTATCTCTATAGAATCTCTATTCTAAAACAATTCATTTAAGAGCTGGAGTGAGGCTCAGCAGTTAAAAGGACCTGCACTATTGAAGAGGACTCAGACTTGGCTCCCATCACCCACATGGCAGCTTACAACCATATGTAATTTCATCCTATAGGTCTGATGCCCTCCTATGACTTTTGTAGGCACTAGAATATATGTAGTGTGCATACAGACAAACCCCTGACATACATAAAACAGGTCTCTATATGAAAATCTCTATAGTACTGTCTTATGCATGAACCAGGTTATAATTATTTCAAGTGTAAAAATTGTCCCAGAAGGTGAGAAATCAAGCTATTATTAGGACTTACTTGATAGTTTAAACCTCTCTTTGAAAGCTGTCTAAAACCACAATAAAAATGTCACGCTGGCTGGGAGGTGGTGGCACCGCCTTTAATCCCAGCACAGAGAAACCCTGTCTCAAAAAAAAAAAAAAAAAAAAAAAAAAAAAAAAAAAAAAAAAAAAACAACAACGACTCTGACATAATCATCATATTGATTCTGAATCGGACAATTGTCGTTTTTTTCTTGATACAGACAAAGAGGTGTGTGTGTGTGTGTGTGTGTGTGTGTGTGTGTGTGTGTGTGTGCCTGTGCTGCTGGGGATCAAATACAGGGTCTTGTGCATGTTATACCAATGCCCCTCCACCAGTAAGCTATGCCTTCAGCCCAACTCTTGCCTTTAGAAGTAAATCCTAATCTGGAGGGTGAGTAAAAAAACAAAAAAAAAAGTTATCCAAACTAATTTTGTTTGAAATCCAATCTAGCTATTGCTGTGGAATAATCCTTCTGTACACTGTGAAGGTGTTGCTCTCATTATTATTAAAGAACTGACTGGCCAATAGCTAGGCAGGATTTTTGGGACAGAAAGAATGCTGGGAAGAAGGGCAGAGTCAGGGAGTCCAGAGAAGGAGGAGATGAACTTGCCATACTGAGATAAGGTACTGAACCACATGGTAGAATATAGATAGAAATATGGTTAATTAAAGTTGTAAGAGCTAGTTAGTAATAACCTTAAGCTATTGGCCGAGCATTTATAATTAATAATATGTCTCCATGTTATTTGGGAGCAGCTGCTAGGACACAGAAATCTGCCTGTTAGCTATTCATTCCACAGAAGATTACACTACCTATACTTTAGAAGATACTTCAGAGAAACTTTGGTCAAGTTCAAAAAACACTTAATTATTAGCCAAAACTTCTAATTTGCTAAACATTCATTGAGGATCTATAGTAAGATTCATGGGACTAGAAATGACTCTATTTAAGTTCCTTCTGCATGTCTTGCTGGGAGATTTCATACAGGTAATTCTCCCATTCAGTGTTCTCATTTAAAAAAAAATAGGAGTAGGGGCCTGAAGAGATGGATCAGTGATGAAGTACGCTGGCTGCTCTTCCAGAAGATCCCAGTTTGACTCCAGTATCCACCTGATGGTTCACCGTAAACATGGCGGCTCATTTGTAACTCCTGAATCTCAGTGGATTCAACAACCTCTTCTTATTTTTATGTGCATCTGTCATGCGTGTGATGCACACACATACATGCCGACAAAACACCTGCACTGCTGCTAACTGCACAGCATGGGATTGACCGGACCAGGGCAACATAGAATGTAGAACCGGCTGACCTACAGATAAGAGACAGAGAAAAATCTGGGTTTGAGGGGGCGGTGTGCTTGGATGGAGGTGAGCCAGCCGCTAGAAACTCAGTGTGTTAATTATATACAGCTGAAGGAGAAGGCAGGTTACCCAGTCTCGGTAGGGAAGCAGGTTCAGACTGCAGTCTCCACCCCCAGGAGGGAGCTGTGCTTGGTATTTCTTACACATCCTGTCAACATCTGTGCTCCCACCTAGGTAAAACCTAGCAGTTCCCTTGGATCTGTGGCACGGCTGTTGCTTATGTCAACTATACACATTCACTCAGGAGGAGGAAAGGGAGACCACGTGTTCCTCTTTTGGGGGGGGGGGATCACTTAAGTACCCTGGGGAGTGGTCCTGACCCCACCCCCAGGGAGGGGTCAGGACCTGGCCTGCTGGGATTTGAAGTCCAGACCAGGCCTGGGGGCTGAGATAGATGCCAGGTACTGGGGCCTCCGCTCCCAACCTACCAGACAGAAAGAACAGACTCCGTGTGTCTTCTGACTATGTACACACATCATCCATATACACAATAATAATAAGGAAAATCTTAATGTAAAGAAAAGCTACACAGAGAAATTGATATTGCACAAGGAACTAGGTTATACCACAGGCAAGCACGAATTTTCCAACAAGGGGGTTAAGAATGTTGGCATAAAAACCAGAGCTCTTCAGATAGCTCTGGGAATCGCTTTAGAGACTCACTAAGCAAAGGAGCACAAGAATAAAACTCCAGAATATTCGGAGATGTCCGCAACGTTTCAAAGGCATGCCCACTTTTCCTCTCCTTTGGAATCCATCCCAGTAAAGGGCTCAGCAAAGAATTCTGGGAAACCACTCCTCCCTCCTTTTCAACTTTGCAAATCTGCAACAACTCTTTCTGACCCATCTCTTCCCCCCCATTTCTTTTCTGCCACACTCTCTCAGAGCAAGCGTTCCCTCGGCTCTACCTGGGTTGTTTCTGTACTTGTCTATCCCTTGGCTTCCACTTGTGGCCCAGTTTCAGTCTATTTGTGACCCCACCAGCCCTAGAGAGCTCCCCAAACAGAAACCGGGTGTCGTGGCGTTGTTCTATTTAATTTTCGTGAATCCGCACCATCCAGAGGATAGTCTCAAGTTCCAAGCTGTCCAGCTCACTTATGTTCAGCCTCTGCTTCTTCTCATATTTCCCCTTCCACCACGCCTAATTTCAGTTTAGCTCGAGTTTTGTGGTTTCGCCAGTGCCTTCCTTGGCCTTGAGACTAATGCTTCCTTCCTGGAAGTGGTTTCCTTTGCCTATCTGAAATGAACTTGCATAGAAATTAATAGTCGGCTACAGTCAGCTCAGGCTGTTTTTCTCTGGCGCCCTATTTTTACCTCCCTTTGATCCTTATATAGCACTGGGTGAAAGATCTCTGTGTTGACAGTGTTTGCTCACACGTCTGTATCCCTTGCTACGTCCCTCCCTTAGGGTAGCAGGAACACTGTCCTGGTTTCTGTTTGGTTTGGTTATTCAACAAATATTTGACGACCTAGTATACGCTGGATATTTTATATGTAAGGACAAAGTGGTCAACAAAGCAAAGAGGGACAGTTCCCTGTCATTAATTGGATAGCAGGATGTGAAATACATAGATAAATGAGTATAAAATGAGTCAGGTATGGTGGCTTATACCTTTAATCTCGGTGCTTGAGAGGCAGAAGCAGGCAGATCTCTAAGTCTTAGGCCAGCCTGGTCTTGGTCAGCAGCCAAGGATAGGTAGAGCTAGCCCGTGTCAATAAAGCAAAACAAAAACAAAGCTACGCAGAGAACAAATAAATCATAGTATGAAAGTGAATAGAGAATAGAAAACTCGACGGAAGAGACGTGTAAACTGACGAGGGAACGCCCAGCTCGAGGGTCAAAACGCATAGGAGAATAGAGAGGCTAGGAACAGAGAAGCCAGGGGTGAGATGACATAAACTTTGCTGCGGAGGAAGAGTTTTGATTTGTGCTTCAAGCGTGGAGAGGGGCCTTGTCTGGTTTAGAGCTTTGCGAAGGTGGCTCTGAGGCTACGTGGCAGAGGCCTGAAGGGAAACTGAAACCCGAAGCCGCAGAAACTCAGAATGGGCGGCGGCCGCAGTTAGAGGGAACCGGACGGGAACCGGGGATTTACGCAGTTAAGAGGGCTGTTCCGAGGAGCAGCGCCCGGAGCCGACCGTCAGCTCAGAGTCCCAGCCCAGCGCTCCGCGGGCGGGGCCGGAAGAGGAAGTCGGGGCTGCAGCCCAGAGGTCCGGGTACCGCCAGCGCCGCCAGCGCCCTGCTGCCCGTCCGCGGGATGGGGCTGCTGCTGCACTTGCGGCACGCTCCCGCGGCCGCTCTGCTCTGGAGCTGCCTGCTGGGACTGGTGAGAGCCGCACTCCCCTCCCCTCCTCTCCGCTCTTCCCTCCCCTTCCTCCCTTTCCCTTCTCCTCCCTCCTCCCCTGCCCCTCCCCCTCTCCTCCCCCCCCCCTTCCGGCCCTTTTACAGCGCTCACCCGCGGGTTCCAGCATTCTCACCTGGCAGTGCCTAGAACCCTGCGAAATACTTACCCGGGAGTAACCCCGTGGGGTGGAGGGCTTCTTTCACCTAGGTCCTGAAGCGCTCTCTATAGTTTTTTAGCATTCAGGCACATTTTCTTTTTAATTAAAAAATTTAACTTCTGTTTTATTGTGTAACCCTTCTTACTGCTGCTTTTTGCCCAGGAAAAAAAAAGGGGGGGGGGCAGGATGGACTGGGTTCCAGGTGTTAGCGTTCTGGAGTGCTCTTTAGTTAACTGTGTTCACATATATTTCTATCTATAACTATATGGATATCTGCATGCTTTCATTCCAGTTCTTTCTCTGTAAGGTGCGTGTCATTATACTGTGGGGATTTGTTTTTCTGCTTTTGTTTTCTTATAGGCACACTTTAAAATCCCTTTAAAAACCAAGTATGAAAGTGGCCCTTGGAGGTTTTTAGTTTGAAGTCTAAAGGGGTAGAAGTCTGGTTAAGAAAAAAATATGTGCATGCATACCCATAGTTGCAGAAGTAATGTTTTAAAATTTAGCATCAAGAAATTTGAGTTCTAATGGGTGACCCAGAAGCTAGCTTTCAGGAAATCAGACTTTGTTTCCATTTGCTTTCTCTTCTGGAGCTTCAGGTTGGGAATATTTATCAGTGTTGTTTGGGCAGTTGTGTAAACAGTGTGCATAGTCATTACCCCGAGGAACTGTAACTTCTCGGAAAGACTGTGTTTTATAACTCTGGGCTTTAAAGGGTCAGCGAGAAAATCTAAGCTCAAAACTGTTATTAAACAAAAAAAAAAAAAAAAGAGTAGCCTTTCGTGTTCTGGGAACTTTGCTGGACAGCATTAGGATCATACAGGAAAGAAATCATACAAAAAGTATTTTGAGGGGAGAAACAGCAACACAGAAGCATTACTCTGTGTCTTTAAGTTGTGTACTGAATAATCAGACAAGTGACATTTAGTTCCCAAAGAACAGCTCAGAGGGTACGTAAATGCCCTGAACTTATAATTTATGTTAAACTTAGCACTCATTTCATTGAACCTCTTAAGACTATTAAGAAAAAAATGATGTTTACATACTTATAGTTCCACTAATTCGTCCTCAAGATAAATTAATATTTAGCACAGAAATACATCAACTCTTGATAAATCACATTGTTGGGCAGTGGTGGCACATGCCTGGTCCAACACTCTGTGTCAGAAGCAGGCTGGTCTCTGTGAGTTTGAGGCCAGCTTGGTCTGCACAGTAAGTTCTAGGACTGCCAAGGCTACACAGAGGAACCCTGTCTTGAAAAAACAAAACAAAGAAAAAGAATCGACAAACCCACACTGTGGTTATTAGACAAGAACTTGGAAGATCTAATGGCATGGATACATGGAGTAATGGGTGACATGTTTAGCAAACTGTAAATATGCTCTTGTGTGAAGTACTATGCCTTTTTTTTTTTTAAAATAAGGTCTTGTGTAGCCTAGGCTTGCTTTGAGCTACCTAAGAATGACCCTGAACTTCTGATTGTCCTGAGTGCAGGGATTATAGGCATGGACCACCAAGTTCAAACCCAAGGCTTCATATGATGGTAGTTAAGTGCTCTACAAACTGAGCTTCACCTAGCCTTCTGAGGAATACGGTATTTCTTTGTTAATGGTTGGGGGTGGATGGGTGATATGTTTCCGTGGCTGCAACTTTAAGCATGTCCCTTTTCTGGACAAATTGCAAATTTTGTAGTGGTTTTGTTCCTGATTCTCCTCATAACTAAAAGCATCTAGTAATACCTGTGTGATAGAGTTTGAATGCTTTGTTACCTAGACATGACCTCTTTTGGGTTAGTCCTTTAAACTCAGCTTCCCAGAGAGTCAGAGGATGGACAAATGCCAGAATGTACGATGCATTGTTTTTAGCCTATTCCAGATAGAGTCACCATCCCATCTGTTCAGGAGCCTGCCTTTGTCTGCATTGTTCTCAGCATTCTGCCCAGAATGGCCTCGTTAAGCTCTTTTGACAGCATCGTAGTCTTTCTCTAGTTTGCTCCTCCAAACCTCCAGACTTCTGCATACTAATTTCAATGCTTATGAGCCATATTATCAGCTATAGTCATAAGCAATAATCTTCCTTCATGGTACCAGCTTTCTGTTCCTTGACAAAATGCCTGAGAAATCACCTTAAAAAGAAGAATGAAGCCGGGCAGTGGTGGCACATGCCTTTATTCCCAGCACTCAGGAGACAGAGGCAGGTGGATCTCTGTGAGTTCGAGGCCAGCCTGGTCTACAAGAGCTAGTTCCAGGACAGGCTCCAAAGCCACAGAGAAACCCTGTCTCAAAAAACCAAAAAAAAAAAAAAAAAAAAAAAAAAAAAAAAAAAAAAAAAAAAAAAAAAAAAAAAAACCAAAAAAAAAAAAGACAAGAAGAAGAAGAATGAGCCCAGGTGGTAGTGGCACAGGCCTTTAATCCCAGCACTTGGGAGTTGAGAGGCAGAGGCATGTGGAACTCTATGAGTTCAAAGCCAGCCTGGCCTACAGAGTTAATTCCAGGACAAACAAGGTTACACAAAGAAACCCTGTCTCCAAAATAAAACAAAACAAACAAACAAACATAAAAGGGGTGGGGGAAGGAGGAGGAGGAAAGCCAGGCAGTGGTGGCCCATGAGAGGCAGAGGCAGACAGATTTCTCTACATTCCAGGCTAGGCTGGTCTACACAGAGAATTCCAGGACAGCCAAGGCTATACAGAGAAATCCTGTCTTAAGAAACCAACTGGATGTGTGCTTTGCTACAAAGGCTTGTATGTTTTGTTTATTTTGGGTATGCTTTTGTGTATCTGAACACACATGCCTTCCTGTGCCCCAACCCATGGTAGAAGTCAAGCGTTAACTTGGCACCATGTGGGGCTCAGGTCATTAGACTTGGCTGCTAATGTTTCACCTGCTGACCCATTCCCTGGACCTCTTCTTCCTTTGGATTTGGAGACAAACTTGCTCACAGATAAGATGGGAAGAACGTATGTTGAAGGAGGTGGGTGACAGAAGCAGTATACTAAACATTTGGGGATGTCTCTGCATGTCTCCCGCCCCTCACTTTTTCTTTATTATTCTTTTCCATCACTTTGTCCCTTTTCCTTATTTTTCTAGGCAATGGGAAATAAGACAAGATGAAGTATTCTAGCTATTTTTAAAATTTATTTATTTATTTGGGGGTGGGTGTGCCAGGGCATATGTGTCATGCTCAAGGACCAACTCATGGGACTCATTTCCCTCCCCCCCCCCCCCCCCGCCCCTTCCGTGGGTCCTGGGATCCAACTCAGACTGTCATCTTTGGTGATAAGTGCGGTTACCCACTGAGCTATCTTGCCAGCTCTTCTAGCTCTCTTTTATGTTGTTTATTTATTTATTTTTGATTGTTTGTTTTGAGACAGCATCTTTGTATGTAGGTCTGGCCTCCCTAGCACTCACTGTGTAGACCAGACTGCTCTGGAACTCAGAAAAATCTGCCTGCCACTGCCTCACATAGGCCACCGCTGCCAGCTTCCCTTCTTCGTCTTCCTCCTCCTCCTTTTTTGTTTTGTTTTGTTTTTTTGAGACAGGGTTTCTTTGTGTAGCTTTGGCTGTCCTGGAACTAGCTCTGTAGACCAGGGTGTCTTTGAACTCACAGAGATCCACTTGCCTCTGCCTCCTGAGTGTTGGGATTAAAGGCATCTGCCACCATCACAGGGCAGGCAGTTTTTCTCTTAAACTCCGTATTGGTGTATCTGGATAGGCAGTTGAAAGCTCTTGAAGACTAGAGTGAAAATGATTTTAAATTCAAGGTGATTATCTTATACAGTCAATACTTAAAAGTACTCCTGCATCTCTTTAACCCTAGGGAAAGGTACTAGGCAGACACCAAGGGTGGGACAAGCTGAGAGGTTTTGAGTCCATTCTTCTGCATGAGTGTGAACTATGAAGTCACAACTCATAAAAGAGTGGTGAGGAAAGTGCCAGGCTGAGAGGGCAGGCTGGCATTATTATGTCATAGCATCCCCCATATGGCCCTTAAAACATAGTTTTAGGGTCATAGTTAATCTTGTAAGAAAGTGAGCCATCGTCCTCAAGGAATGAGCTCCGGACAAGTGTGTATGGTTTCATTATTCCCGAGCTGCATACGCAGGAGTAAATAAAGTCATCACAAGTCTCACCCCCATGAGGAAATGTGCTCAGACATGCTTGTAAATAGTCTCATTGAAATCTGTTACTGCCGGCAAGCCTAACTGTGACCGCCATCCTGAAAGTTGTTGTTTGTATCTTAGACAGCTGCTCAGGAAGCCATCCTGCACGCGGCCGCAGATGGCTCGTCTTCACTTTCCAAGGACTATTGCATGCATTATAACCCCAAGTGGACAAGGCTTCCAAGTTCCCTAGAAAATGCAGTAAGTAAATAACGTGATAATTGTTCATAATAAAATATTGAATATGAGTAATAACTGTATTTTAGCGTGTGACTCAGTGACATTGTACTAAACTGGCCTCTGTGTTTCATCGCTGAATGCTCTTGGGTGAAATGAGGTATCTGTCTTATTAAAAACATTTCTTCTTGGGGCTGGAGAAATGGCTCAGCGGTTAAGAGCATCGCCTGCTCTTCCAAAGGTCCTGAGTTCAATTCCCAGCAACCACATGGTGGCTCACAACCATCTGTAATGAGGTCTGGCGCCCTCTTCTGGCCTGCAGGCATACATACAGACAGGATATTGTATACATAATAAATAAATTAATTAGAAAAAAAAAGAAAAGTTAAAAACATTTCTTCTTTTCAGACTTCTCTTAGCTTGATGAATCTGACCGGCACGCCACTGTGCCACCCTTCTGATATTCCTCCTGATGGCATAAAGAACAAAGCAGTGGTGGTACAGTGGGGATCCTGCCACATCCTTGAAAAAGCCCAAATTGCCCAGAAAGGTGGTGCTGAAGCATTGCTGATCGCCAACAGCAGTGTTCTGGTAAGTGCTAAATGGAGGAATTTCTTTTTTATATACATTTTTTATTGATATTTATTGAGCTCTACATTTTTCTCTGCTCCCCTCCCTGCCTCTCTCCTCCCCCCTCAAGGTCCCCATGCTCCCAATTTACTCAGGAGATCTTGTTTTTTTCTACTTTCTACTTCCCATGTAGATTGGATCTATGTAAGTCTCTCTTAGTGTCCTCATTGTTGTCTAAGTTCTCTGGGATTGTGGTTGGTAGGCTGGCTTTCTTTGCTTTGTGTTTAAAAACCACCTATGAGTGAGTACATGTGATAATTGTCTTTCTGTGTCTGGGTTACCTCAATCAAAATAATGTTTTCTAGCTCCATCCATTTTCCTGAAAAATTCAAGATGTCATTTTTTTTTCTGCTGTGTAGTACTCCATTGTGTAAATGTACCACATTTTCCTTATCCATTTTTTGATCAAGGGGCATGTAGGTTGTTTCCAGGTTCTGGCTATGACAAACAAAACTGCTATGAGCATAGCTGAGCACATGTCCTTGTGGCATGATTGAGCATTCTTTGGATATATACCCAAAAGTGGTATTACTGGGTTTTGAGGAAGATTGTTTAAAAGAAGGAATTTCTATTGTGCCTCGAACACCAAGTCTCCCAGGAACTGAGTTAATGCTGTGTGTGTTCCAGAGGCTGAATTTTTAATCATCTTCTAGATTACTTTTATTAATAAATGTTCTAAATTTATTAATAAAACATTCTAATTAGAAAATTTTGTAGTTTTGGCTGTATCTTTAGAGTTGAGATGACTTGAAGTCTTAAGAGTTGAGAAACATATATATATATATGTGTGTGTGTGTGTGTATGTTGTATGCTTATACAGTGTCTATACCATATAATGTCATGTATAGTATATATCTGTTTAAGTTCATGTTAAAAAGATTTTGCTTTTAGAACTTATATATTATTAAGAAGGAATAATGAAGCTTTGTTTATATAATTCAACATAATATTGGTACTTAGTGTAAATATAGTATGTATATTTTTATTCTGTAAATGTGTTAATCAAGTTTCATATTTTTTCTTTTAGCTTCCTTCCTCAAGGAACAGTTCTGAATTTCAAAATATGACAATACTAATTGCAGTGATAAGCCAAAGAGACTTTAAAGATATGAAACAGGTACGTTAGTAATGGCATATTAGATGTTTATAAAGGGTATGATTGTTTACATTTAATCACTATTCTTATTTTGATTATTAGGCATTCTCCACTTGCTAGCGAGAGCGTTGAAGGGCTGAATAAGCCTCTAGCTGTCCCGTCTTCCCAGCTCTCTGATGATGTGTAGATGTTGCTGCTGTGCTGTGGAGGACTCATCCCTGTGTTAACTGTCCCTTTGCCCTTCAGACTCTGGGAGATAACGTTACCGTGCAGATGTATTCTCCATCCTGGCCTAACTTTGACTATACTATGGTGGTTATTTTTGCAATTGCTGTGTTCACTGTGGCATTAGGAGGATACTGGAGTGGAGTCATTGAATTGTAAGTTTAATTAAACTCTTTATGACTTTCTGATAAATAGTTTTAAATAATGCTTCATGATAATCTTAATGGCAAGAACATTTACATTTTTAATCTCAGTATATAGAGCCAGTAAGACAGATTGTAGGATTGCCTTTTCTTTTTCTATCTTTTTTTTTTTTAAACTAATAGAAGGTTGTAGGCACCTGAGTTATTTGTTCATAGAGAAACACTTAACTCACATCAAATACTCTGTGGAGGCTGCTGAGGGACTCAGTGGGTAAAGTGTTCACTGCACAAGTGTGAGGACCTGAGTTCAAAACCCTAGAACTCACAGAAAGCTGGACCCAGTTGTGTGCGTCTGTAAGCCAAGTGTTCCTGCAGCAAGATGGGAATCTGTGGAATCTTGAAGGCCAGTTAAACCTGTCTCAAACAGGGAAGACGACAAGGTTCGAGGACTGACCCCTGGATGTCTTCCGACATCCACACATGTATTGTGGCAGGTGTGCACTTGCACATGCACACACAGCAGCAAACACACACATAGAGTGCAATCTCACAGCATGAGCTGGAGCATAGCTCAGTGGTGGAGCTTTTGCCTAGTTGTTTGAACCACTGCTCTCCCAAAGGAATACAGTTGCTGGTAGTATTTAATGTAGAAATCGAGGAGTTGGTTCCCTTTCAGGAAAGCATTTTTATGAAAGCTATGTATGGTGCCTATATATATCCATGCCTATAGTAATCACAGCACTTGAGAGGTGGAGGTCATCCTTGGCTACATACTGAGTTCTACTCTAGCCTGGGCAACATATGCCCCTGCCCCAATGTACCCCCCCCCCAAATGAAGTGCTTTATGTCAGGTATGGTGGTACACACCTGTAACCCTACTGCTCGGGAGTCTGAGTCAGGAGGATCATGAGTTTGGAAGTACCCTGGGTTACATATTAAGTTTAGTGCAACTTGTGCTACATAGCAAGACTGTTTCAGAAGGGGGAGTGCCTTAGGCTCTTCAACATGTGGCTATGAATATTGAATATGTGGATCATTATGGCTTACATGTCTACTGCTATAAATGTTTTTATTTATTTTCAATGACAGATACCAAAGGCTGGCACCTTTCCCCACTTAAGTACCACATTGTTAAAACTTCTGTTAGTGCCCCTACATCCTGGTCTGGAGTTGTAGGGAAGTGCTGGTGCAGAGGCCACATGAGTCCCATTCATGATCATGACGTCATCTGTAATCTCCTGATGGGAAAAGCAGTGTGCTGGTTAACAGTTGCAAATGTGAAAATGTTTAGACCTAAAGTTTTATTCAGCTTAAAGTCTGCAGGGAGCCCAGATTTAATGATCAGGGCCGGAAGATGCACCACAGGGAGCTGAACTGGGGCAGGGGCTGGGAACATGGGGTAGGCTCTGTGTCACCAGGAAGGCCCAGTGATGTGACAGGTGAGACGGTAAGCTGTCTACTCTCCAAAGCCACCTGCCGCTCTCTTTGACACCCGTCTTTGCCTTTCATTAGAGAGGTGATTACTTGGGAGAACCCATGGGTAGTAACAAAGGCAGGACAGGACTGGAGCTGGTAATGTAACAGTTATTCTAAGTGCACTAATGAGCACAGGACAGACATGTAGTAAATGCTGAGTTTGCTCATAGGAGAATTTAGTGTTTATACTTGAGACAAACTTATTTAGAAAGACTTTACTGTATGTAGGTAGGCAATATTGTTTATAAGTTTATATCTTAAAACACATTATGTCAACATAAATATCTCTCCAAACTTAGTTGTATGAACATCCACAAACATTAATTTATTAATATAATTAATGTTGTATGTTCTAACAGGTTTTTTATTAAAAAATCTTATTTCAAAGTTGTTCTGGAGAGTAGGAATATAGGATGTTTTAGTTCCTAGATTAAATATTTCTTTTTGGTACTTTTTTTAAAAAGTGCATTACTTTTGTAATTCAACTTAAAATTGGTGTTAGAGAGGGATTTTTAAAAAAAATAAGTGGTAAGGACTTGCTGATGTTTCTGTGTGTGTTTATGCAGGGAGAACATGAAGGCAGTGACAGATGCGGAAGACAAAGAGACGCGGAGGAAGAAGGAAGAGTATTTGACTTTCAGCCCCCTCACAGTTGTCCTGTTTGTGGTCATCTGCTGTGTGATGATCGTCCTGCTCTATTTCTTCTACAGGTGGCTTGGTAAGACACTGGGTCTTAGGACTCAGCCATGAAAGGCTAGGCTCACCAAAAATACAAGAAGCTAGCATGGCTGCCGTCTCCTAGTGTATGACAATAACTCACAGGATTGTACTGAGTTGCTAAGGCTTCCCCCCACCATTTTATGATTAAGATGAGCCAGGCAGTGGTGGCGCACGCTTTTTAATCCCAGCACTCGGGAGACAGAGGCAGGCAGATCTCTGTGAGTTCGAGGCCAGCCTGGTCTACAGAGTTAGTTCCAGGATAGGCTCTAAAACTACAGAGAAACCCTGTCTCAAAAAAACCAAATAAAAAAGAAGCAGGTGTACATCCTGAGTATGCTTTTCAGTAAACTTCTTACATTTAAAACAAAGCTAACTGGAACTGTGTTATGATGATAAAGCTCTTCCCGTGGGATCATTTTCTAAGTGACAGTACCCTGCAGACAAAACAATGAAGCTCCCATAAGGCCTCAGGGAATATGCTCCCTACCGGGCTCTTAAAACCTGGGTTGGGCAGCTTGGCAGAAGATGTACCAAAACCCAATTGACAGTCCATGAAGGGTCTGCCTTCCTGCTCCTCATACATGACCACAAAGGACACGTGCAGCGCACACACTTTATATACGTTCGCTTATCTCACCCTGACAACAACCCAGCGTACTTTGAATGAACTCAGTGTGTTAGATATGAGCATCAGAGGACTCAGGGTGGCTTATCGGGCTTCACTCAGAACCAGGACTCCCCAAATTTACTGTGCTGAGACCAGTCTCTGTTTCTCACCCCCACCTCAGAGCTCAGTCTCCTGAAATCAAATAGACCATGAGCATTGAGGTACAGCTAGTATTTCTATCACAATATTTTCTAGAAAATTTGGAAAAGGAATATTGTAAGGTATAACAATCCTACCTCCTTTGTAACAACACAGAGGTGAAATATATTTAGATAATTTTCAGATACATCTGGGTAATAGAGAATGCTCGTCAAATTTTACTACCTAGGTGTTCTATTGCAACAAAGTTTCTCTGAATGGATTTGAGTGTTTTAGGGTATGTGTATGTGTTTCCCTTGAGGCATCTTGCTGTGTCATGCTGGCTAGACCAGTACTTTCTACACAGCCCAGGCTAATCTTCAACTGGTGGTTACTATGCCTGGCTGGATTTGGTTTTAACACAGGCCAAGTTGTTACAGATAAATTCTCATAGGAAAACATGGATAACATGACTGATACCTAAGGCAGATATTTGTTCTCATTCCTAAATTGCATTCCTAAAATATCATATTAATAGTTTATTAATTCAGAGCCAGGCCCAGTGGCACACGCCTTTAATCCCAGCACCAGGGAGGCACGGGCAGGCAGATCTCTACAAATTCAAGCCTATATATTTGTGTATAGCAAGTTTCAGGCTAGACAGTGTTCCCAAAAAGAATGTGTTTCTTAATTCAGTTTGGGATATCACTGTAGAGTTATATGTGCAAAGACCTGGGTTCAGTCCCAGGTGTCATTAGGCTGGGTATGATGGTGTACACCTGTAACCTCAGCACTTAGGAGGTAGAGACAGGAGGATCAGGAGTTCAAGGTTTTCTTTTCTTTTTTTTTGGCGGGGGATGAGGAGACAGTTTTGAGACAGGCTTTCTCTGTAGCCTTGGAACCTGTCCTGGAACTAGCTCTTGTAGACCAGGCTGACCTCGAACTCACAGAGAAACCTCTGCCTTCCTAATCCTTCTGGGATTAAAGACGCGGCCACCACCACTGACTCAGATATTCAAGGTTTTCAAGGTCATTCTTTGTCCGTGTAGCAAATTCAAGGCCAGTTTGAACTACTTGAGACGCAGCTCAAAACAAAAAGGCTTGGAGGAATAGCTTGGTTGGTAAAGGGCTTATTGTGCAAATAAGATCAGAGTTTGATCCTTGTAGGAAAACCCTACTTGGAGACATAGACGTGGAATTCAAGCACTGGGTAGGTAGAAGCAGGTTGATCCCTGGAGCTTGCTGGCCAGTCAGAGTAGTCTGCTTGGCAAACTTCCAGGCCAGTGACTCAGCCTGTTTCAAAAATAAAACAAACAGAAGGAAAACAAGACATCAGAGGAATAGAACGATGGTTGTTTTCTGGCCTCTTCCCATATCCAAATATATGTATGCACCTACATACATACAAACACAAACCCATATATGCACAAAAGTTCATCATCCTTCTGTTTTTACCTTTAAGTACTTATAAATATCTGTAATTCACTTCACAGAAACCTGTAACAAACATGTCAGTTTGAATTATTGAAAATTAGAAAATGTAGAACCATATTTAGCCAGTTAATACTTTCCTAGCGGTGTATAATACAACTAAAATCACATGTTAACGTGGCCCACTTTAAAACTTAAAACACTATAGATATTTTCAGTTTAGCAGCTACTATAGAAAACATTATATATAGTACTATATTGAAAATATGGTATAGTGAAATGCACTAAATGATTAATAACTGTCTCTTTCTTTTCTAGTTTATGTTATGATAGCAATTTTCTGCATAGCATCAGCAATGAGTCTGTACAACTGTCTTGCTGCATTGGTTCATAGGATGCCATGTGGACAGTGCACGTACGTATCTCTTGGAGATTGCTTTAATTAGTGTTTGAACTTAATACAGGGAAAGTGAGGTGCTGCTTTAAGGCTGTATATTCAGTATACATTAAACTTACGGCTATTTAAAGTCAATAATGTGTTTGGGATCTTTAAATTGAGTTCCTGAGACATATTGAAGTAGCCATATATGGCTAGTGTCATCAGTACTGGAAAACATGGAGAACATTTCCATTACCATAAAGGGTTTTGTTAAACTGGTTATTATGCCTCATTAGTTTTATGTAAAATTATGACATCTAGAGTAATATTTCAATCATTTCTTGTTAGTCTGTCATGTTTTGTATCAAGTGATCATTGCATTTTGTCTACAGCACAAATCAACTATTTTTATTTATTTTTAGGATTTCCTGTTGTGGCAAAAACATTAAAGTAAGCCTGGTTTTCCTCTCTGGATTGTGCATCTCAGTCGCTGTTGTGTGGGCTGTGTTTAGAAATGAGGACAGGTATGATGACTCTACTTTATTGTGGATTTAAGGATTCCTGACTCTTATTCGTTATGATTATTATGGCTAATGATTTACATTCTTACAGGGAGGGAAATTAGGTTAAACGCTTAGACTTAAGATATGCTTAATTATGGTATGTTACTGCAGAACACCATATAACGTTAACAAATGATCTTTGAGTTGGTGGTGCAGTGATTTCCAGCCTGAGTTTTAAGTGAAAAGGCTGTCATATTTTAAGTTCTGTCACTGTGATCAAATACCCTGCTGAAAAGCAGCTTAGGGGAAAAGGTATTTTATCTCACAATTGCGGGTGACAGTCCTTTACTGTTGAGAAGTCAGGGTGGCAGGAACTTGAAGCAGCTGATCACATCACATCCACAGCCAAGAGCAGAGAGAAATGAGTGAATGGACTTGCTTGTTTCAACCCTGTCTCTACATCTAACCAGTCTGGAACCCAAACCCAGGGAATGGTGCCTCCCACATTCAGATATTTCCAACTCAGCCCAGTAAAGAAAATGTCTCACAGACATGCCCACAGGCCAACACACCTGCCTTAGTTGGGGTTTCTGTTGGTGTGAAGAGACACCATGAACACAGCAATTCTTATAAAGGAAAAACATTTAATCGTGGTGACTTGCTTACAGTCCAGAGGTTTAGTCCATTGTCATGGTGGGAACCAAGGCAGCATGCAGGCATAATGTAGCTCTGGAGCTGAGAGTACAGGAAGTGAACTGAGCATACTTGAGACCTCAAAGCCCGCCTCCACAGTGACATACTTCCTCTAACAGGACCACACCTACTCCAAGGCCACACCTCCTAGTAGTGGCTCTCCCTTTGGGAGTCATTTTCTTTCAAAACACCACAACAACCCAGACAATTCCTCTTTGAGATTCTCTTCCCAAATGATTCTGATGTCAAATTGATAAAAAACTAACCATGATAAAAGCAAAATGTAAAAGAATATATAGAATATTTTGCCTTTCATAGTAGAAAGAAGGGGCAATGTAAGGTATCTGTCCATTTACTAAGAGCAACAGGTATGAGTGTCTCTCTATTAAAGAAAATCATTACATGCATTGTGTGTGTGTGTATGTGCGTGCGCAGTGTGTGTGTGTATTTGCGTGCGCAGTGTGTCTCTCACCTGTGTGTACACGCCACAGCATAAGTGTGGCAATCAGAGCACAACTTGGGTCACTTCTCTCCTTCTACCCTGTGGGTCTCAAAAGTCTTAGGTCATCAGGCTTGATAACAGGTACCCTTACCTGCCCAGCCATCTTGCCAACCCAGTGTCAATCCATGGCAGGAAGGAAAACCTGGGGAAATTATATAACATATGTTCAATGGCTTATTAATAAAACTATTGATGACCTGGAAATCTTTTTATAATTATCAAAGTTATTAATTTTGTCACTGGTTGCTAGTTATGGATATTAATTTCTAACAAGTAAGTTGTGTAGCTTTCACTTTGTGCTGAGCTGGTCTGAATATAAACATGGGGATTTTGTTGGCAGCTGTCTTTGTAGAGACACGCAAAGCTGCAGAGATTAAGGTGAATATGTACTCGCATCTGACGCACATTCTTCTGAGGTAGCCTTGAGTCATTATTCTGCCAGGACAGTAACTTGCTAAACAGGGAGGCTATGAGGAGATCGTTCATAGCCATTGAATGGCATAACCACAGTGATCTGTTTATGTAACGTTCATCAAAAGTAGTGGAATGGAACAATAGGTGAATCTCTCTTTTTCTCTCTCTCTCTTTTATTATAGATGGGCTTGGATTTTACAGGATATCTTAGGAATTGCTTTCTGTCTCAACTTAATTAAAACAATGAAGTTACCCAATTTCAAGGTAAAATATATTACTTTTATAGCTGTAATAATAATGTTTTTAAAAACAATATGATTGAGGTGTATTTTTTTTAAAATTATTTATTTATTTATTTATTTATTTATTTATTTATTTATTTATTATGTATGCAATATTCTGTCTGTGTGTGTGTCTGCAGGCCAGAAGAGGGCACCAGATCTCATTATAGATGGTTGTGAGCCACCATGTGGTTGCTGGGAATTGAACTCAGAACCTTTGGAAGAGCAGGCAATGCTCTTAACCACTGAGCCATCTTTCCAGCTCCCGATTGAGGTGTATTTTGCATATAGTCTAGCATGCTCATTTTAATTGCACTGTTGAAATGTTGTATGGGTATGTATAGCTTTTATAACTTCCACCCAAATGAGCTGCAGACCATTCCCCGTCTTCAGAGAGTCCATCCTGCCTGTCTGTGCTCACGTCTAACCCTAAGACACGGACAGCTACTACGTTGCTAGCTGGATGTTTTTCATCACTCATACTCTTTTAATAGAACTTCATAAGACTAAATATTGGGGAAGAACTTTCTTTAATTCAATGATGTTTTTAAGCAAATGGGTTACAGGAAGTAAGGATTTTTAAATGATGTTTTATTAAATAAAATATGCCTAGCAATAACAATAAAATACCTTTTAAAATAGTGTTCAAATATATATTCTCATGCTTACTTGTTTCTGCAAAGTAATTTGATGTGATAGTTTAGATGTGGGAAGTTTGATCTTTTAAATCCCTTTTTCCCGACAGTCCTGTGTGATACTGCTAGGCCTTCTCCTGGTCTATGATGTGTTCTTTGTCTTCATAACACCGTTCATCACAAAGGTAGGACCGCCTGTGCATTTTCAGTTCATGAGGAAACATCGCAAAAGATGAAATTCTTTAAAATCCATTTGTTTGCCTTGAGACAAGGTCTCTTCAGTATAGCCCTGGCCAGTAGAGAACTCTCTCTGTACAGCAGGCTGGCCTTGAACACTCGAGATCTGCCTGCCTCTAGATTAAAGGCATTTGTCACTGTAGCCCACACTGCCACACACAGCTCCTCGCATTTTTTAAGAGTCTAATTACTTTATGTGTCTATGTACCTGTATGCATGTGCACCCCGTGCTTGCCCGGTGCTCATGGAGCTCAGCAGAGAGCATCCTTTCCCCTAGAACTGTAATTCCAGATTTCCGTAAGCCACCCGTTGTGGGTGTAGGAACCCAGGTCCTCTGCAGGAGCAGTGGGTGCTCCCAACCTTGAGCCATCTCGCCAGCCTCGAGAAGTGAGCTGTAACTCTCTTCAGAGGTTGTTGGTGCTGCAGATTGTGTGCCTCATAGTGAATTTCAATTTAATTTAATTTAATTGCCTTTGAAATTGGTCTCTCAGTGGAGGGTATTTCAAGTTTTCAATTGCTTGTTAGAATAAAGAACTTCTGATTAGTATAAAGTGAGAATATCTCATTTTTCTTATCTCTATCTACTGTGGACAGTTTAGAGAGGAAGGGGAGAGGGAGGGAAACGTGTCGTTGCTGCCTTCATTTCTGAGAACTAAAGGAACAGCACACCTACTCTGCAGTCTGGGGGCAAACTGTCCAGCCTGGCAACCCATCCTGTGCCTTGCAGATGCCCCTGGTGCTTCCAGGTCCCAGCCTGCTGAGTGAGAAGCCATGTAGGCTTTCCACCTTACAGTTCTTTTGGCTTCAGTGACAGATCTTTTTTGTTTGTTTTTTGTTGTTCTGTTTTGACTTTTTGGGACAAGGTTTCTCTGAGTCTGTCCTAGAACTTGCTCTGTAGACTAGACTGGGCTTGAAACCAGAGATCTGCCTGCCTCTACCTCCTCAGTGCTGGGGTTAAAGACATGTACTGCTGCCTGGCCCAACTTGATCTTTCTGTACCAGAAAGGTCGCCTGTCTCCAGACTGCTCATTGAGGCCAGGGTGAGGCTGACCTCAGTAGAAGTTCAACCCAGGGCCCCATTCTCACTTTGCATTCCTGTCCATTTTGTCTGTCCCCTGGTTCTATTGCCAGAAGCTCCTAGGTCATCATTCCCCCTTTACTCACCATCAGCTCCTTAACGTGAGGAAAGCTGTTGAGTGAGTTGTCACTTTCCCTACCTTAACCTTCTTCCTATCATGAACATATTAATAATTAGTTAGTTCTCCTACTTCTCCACCGTTTTATTTTGTACCTTGCCATGTAACTTCCCATTGGGCTTGTTATTGTTAGTGCTATACTCAGGATAGAACCTAGGACCTGTGTATTTCAGGCAAGCGCTCCACCACTAAACTACAGCTCTATCCCCCTCCAATGGGCTTTAACCCTTTCTTTAGGCACTGTCAACTATGAAACCACCGCAGAAAATATTCACTTCTGACATTTACTGCCAGAATTTCACTTAGGAAATAAAAATTTAAAACTATCCCAAAAGTATTCCTTCCCAGACTATTTTGCAGCCTTAAGGTGAGCTGTTTCAAGTGTTACTGAGCATCAGGGCGAGAGAGAGAGAGAGAGAGAGAGAGAGAGAGAGAGAGAGAGAGAGAGAGAGAGAGAGAGAGAGAGAGAGAGAGAGAGAGAGAGAGAGAGAGAGAGAGAGAGAGAGAGAGAGAGAGAAAGAAGAG